AGATGTGGAGTACCTAGTTTGATGTCTGGCCCCTCTCAGTCCCAAGAGCGAACTCTCCCCAAAAACAAAGAGCACAAACAAAAGCCTTCCCCCCACCAAGATTTGAAAGTATCTTGTCCCCTTATTGGTCCTTTGGGTCAGGTGTCAGCCAGGTTACCTGAGCTTCTTAACCCTTTACAGGTAAAAGGATTTTGGAGTCTCTGGCCAGGAGGGATTTTATAGCATTGTACACAGGAGGGCTGTTACCCTTCCCTTTATAGTTATGACACATGTATTGTACCATGTTGGTTGTTCCTGGATCTTTCTCCTCCCATGTCTTGCGGAAGAGATCTAGATCCTGTGGGGCTGCCTCCCATACAGTAGCTCAAATGGGGATAATTGGAGGAGTGGGATCAACCAGGCCCAGTGATGGGAATATGAGGCCAGAAACTTCCTTAGCATTTTTTCAGTGTCTTATTAAAATGTTCCACCAGCCAATCCATCTGAGGATAGTAAACTGACATCTCTGAAGCTGTGATTTTCAATAGACCACACAATTCCTTTATTAGCTCTGAAGTAAAGATGGTCCTGTGGTCGGTTAGTATCTCCTTCGGTATTCCCACCCAAGCAAAGATTCAAAATAGTGTGGCACTGGTGGCTGCTGACATCGCTGAGCAAAGGGGATGGCCTTGGGATACGGTGTGGTGTAATTTAGTATCAACAAGATGTGCTGGTATCTGCTTCTTTCCAAGCAGCCCCACCTGATGATCCATACCAATCCTCTCAAAGTGTTCTTGAACCACTAGGAAAGGCAGTAGCAGACAGCCATCTTCTAACCAGATCACCTTTCAGGTTGGAGCCAGAGCCAACATTTCTAAAGGCTCTGGGCCACTGCTCGAAATCAGGCTCTCAGTGGGTCTGTCTTCCAGAAAAATAGCCCAGTGCTCAGGTGGCCACTGTGCCACCATGGCGACCTGGTAAAAGGTGACAAGGATGGCTTCTGGGTCAGCTTCAGGCACCTTTTTTGTGAGTTTTATTGGAGTATTTGGAGCTGGAGTGGTGTTTGAAGGTCTTGCTGCAGGATTTACGTTTCACCCCTTCAGCTGTAAGAGGGTCACTATTTGTTTAACTAGATGTTGTTGGTGTTCTTACTGCTGCACTGTCAACTTTTGAATGAGCTGCTGCTGTTGTTGTGTTGCCTGTTGTTGTTCCTGGGCGGCCATTTGTTGGAACAGCTGGTACTGTTGCTGCTGTTCAGCTTCCTGTTGTTGTTGGCTGTCCAACAACCACTTCAGTACTTTTTCCATATCTATCCCTTTTCTCTTTTATAGGACTTACAGCAGGTCTGGGATGTTGCCTGCTTTCTTTGCCAAATTGTGATGGGGACTAAGTGCCATCTAGTGGTTAGGTCACTGGGTCTCAACTGTCCCCTGTGTCTGGCCTCCCTTGCCAACAATCACTCTAACACTAGGACAGTCCACCTTTCAGTAATGACCTTGCCCTCTGGACAGTTCATCCATTGAGTTCTGAGTTAACAGAATCCAACAAAATGTATACAGTCCAACGTCCCCACATAAGAATG